CCTCCTGTTTCTCTTTACTCTTTGATTCTTCCATACAGCTTTTTTCCGTCATCGTTTTGAGCTCATTTTTTTCGGGACCGTTCGCTAAGTTCGGTCTCTTTCTTTTTACTCCGTGGATTATAGGAACTCTACTAGTCAATCAAAAGGCTTGAAAAATTGTCGTACGACAAAATCACACAAATGAAATAACGACCTTATTCCACTAATCTCGCTCAGGTGTGCACGTCCATTGATTTTTGCGTCCTTTGTTAGTCCGACAAAGTGCAAAATTTAATATATCATCACATCAGATGTAATCGTTCTTAAAAATGCATGTCGGAAAAAATATTTGATTTTGCTAAAATAAATGCAATCTTCAAAAATATATTTCCAAAAATATTTCCAAAAATACCCGCGTCAAATTATCGTCGGAAGCCTTAAATAAATTACAACTCATATAACGCAAAATAAAATTTTATAACTGAACTGTCTGAAAATCTAGAAAATGTATTCCATAAAGTCATATAGAAATATTATTAGATATCAATATTTAATCGTATTTATCGTTTTCTACTTATTTAATTTAAAAAATTAAATAAAAAATAGAAAAATGACACAAAATGGAATCTATTTCGAATAAATTTAAATCAATTAAATTTTTAATATTGTTCTAGATGTAGATTCTAGTTATATTAAATGCGTCTTATAATAAATGTGTGTGTGTGTGTGTGTGTGAACTTATTGTTAAGCATAGATTTCTTGTAGAATTAACAATTAGGAAAGATGTTTATGAAGACAATTAGTTATAATTTTTCGCCTTTTATTTAAAGACTGATAAAATTATGAGTTACAACAGTGTTGACGTTACCAACGCTTGTTGTTTACTTTTTAGTTGGCTGCTTGGTAGGCGCAGCGGTTTTCGTAGTATCTTTGTCAATTTTAGCTTTCGAGGTCTTTTTCACGGTTGCCTTGTATTTAGCCAATTGCTCTTTTCTTCTTTTCAAAAGCGCGATGGTCTTCGTCGTCGACGGTTTCTTTGACAACTTTATCTGTAATATCCATAAATTGATCGATAGGTTTACTTTTTGCAATTCTCCTTCCATACTACTACTACATAAGTCTAAAATGTATATAATAAAGTAAAAACCACACAATTAGTATAGTACATACGCCTCGTTTTTCAGCGAGAAGCAAATCCTTTTCATGCTGACGTTTTTGAGCAGTCAGAATGGCAGCGCGTTTCAGAACTGCAGCATATGGATTGAGACGCAGCATAGCCCGTGTGTTGGTCAACGGGTTCAGTTTCTTTACTCTACGCACCACCTTCTTCCTGTAATTGCATTAAATGAAACATATCAGTCACATTATTTATCATGAATAGTAAGATAGAATGGGCGTCTCGAAATAGCACTCCAATGTGCTATCAAAT